TAACAGAGTAAAATAGTAAACAACTGACTCGAGTATAAGTGAAGGGGAGCTTTTTCATCTTAAAAAAAGGGCTGAAAAACTCAGCTTATACTCAAGTGTATACGGTACTGCCTTGATATTTTATAATTATGGGGAGGGAGGATAATTGCTCTTTCTCTCTCTCACTTTCTCTCTCTCTCTCTCTCTCTCTCTCTCTCTATATATATATATATTTGTGTGTGTGTGTGTGTGTGTGTAGAACTGTTAGTTGCAAGATTTAAACTGTTGTATCATGCTTAATCCTGCCTTTTTACCCTGCTTATGTATAGTTGGATTGATTGGTTATTTATAGTTGTCAATCAGTGTTGTTTGCACCAGTTGAATTGCTTTCTCAAGCTCAATTGTTTGGCTCCACCTCTTCCTGGAGGAGGGGAGTCTTTCTTTTTCATTCTGCCATCAGAGTTTCTATCGGATGGATGTAAGTAAGAGACTTGGCTCTAAACGCCCCTGCTTAAATTACCTCTCAGCACCAATTCTAAGGTTTTTTACCCTTGGGACTCATGCTTTATGTTCAGATCATCCTGGACAACATTGAGGAGACCCAAGCGCCTTCAACCCGGTTCTTTTGGCACCAGAGGAAGATCTTGTCCCTTCAACATAGGCCATTGGACTGGGGTTGTGTTTATTCCGATATTCACAGCCATTGAGGAAAGAGGAAACAAGAAAAGCTTCTCAGCTGCAAACTCCTTGGACTTCAGAGATTGTAAAATATATTTCCTTTATCCCTGTTGAAACATCAAGCTTATGCCTGAGAAAGATAACTCATTGTGAACAATAAATACCATTTCAAGTTATCTGTTGTGTTTTGGTCTTTGGGAGTTCTAGTTTCCTATAGGAGGGCAAGAAGCAATCCCCTGGGGAAAGATGCCACGTCCATGCCTCTTTCACTAAGAGTTATAGCCCCCAGGTGCGACGGCACATCTCCAAATACCCCATGTCCCATTTTGTTTTTGTTCCTGGTTGTTAGATGTTGGATGAAACACACTATGACTTAAATTCAGTTGCTAGTACCAAAAAGGTTAGACCAATTAATTTCAGACCAATTGATTTACATACATATTGATTTGCTGCTGAGCAAGTTGTTTATTTATTCCATTGTATCTTTCTCCCAGAGTGGGACCCAAAGAGGCTTTGCATTAATTGATTCAATTTTTCTATTCTAGATGGGACTATTAGTTGAACTGAAGCTCACATGAACTAAAATCCCACAATACAGTGAGGTCAAGGATTGTACTACAGAGAAATTAAATTGATTTCTTGAACATGTAATGCCCTTCCAGATTATGGTTTCTTTAATGTCTTTAATTTCATGCTTTCCCCCCTTCCAAATCCCCAAGTAGCATCTTTTACTTCCTTTTCATATCTTCTCCTCTGTGCTTTCCAAACAGAAAGCTGAGATGTTTTGGGTTTTCCATATTTATCAATCTGTGGCATGATTTTGCCACTTTGACTGTCGAGACCTCTAACTATATCGGTTTCATGGCACTGCGTGATTGACATCACTGTAGAGGGATTCATTTAGACTCCAACTGAGAGCAAATACAGCTTACTCTCCAGTATCGTTACAAAAGAAACCTTTAGTCTTAGGTCATGTTTGAGGTTACCAGTGGGGTTCATATAAGCTACATACAGTTAATATACATTTCAAATAAGCAATGCAGCTGTTGCAGCTGGTGTTTTGTTATGGAATTTGAGTGTTCAGTGTGGGATTGGTTGTGCCTTGAGATTAATAATTGCATAGTTCAAATAAAAACTATAGTTACCCCCACCCCTCAAATTTGATTTATGAAGTTCCAAGCCATCATCAATTTGAAATATCTTCTATCATGATAGGAATCTCCTGATATTCATATTATATGGAATAGTCATTATAGACCATTTCCCATTTCAGGTCTTAACTAAGGTTTATTGAGATATTCTTGACCACCAGTGTCACATTTTAAAGCTTTGTCAACAGTAAAGAACACATGCAATGTAGTGAGAAACAAAACATGTAATATCATCTTTATTTTATCTTGGTTTTTTTTTAAAGAACCAAGCCTATAGTATAACTAACTGGGTGTAGTTCCAGTATTTTTAAAGTACAGCCAGAACTTAAATACCTAAATTTTGTTATGCATTTCATTGAAAAATCTTACAACTGAATGATGTTCAAGAGAATACATGCATATGTCAAGTTCAAGGGTTTTAATAGCATTGGTATACTTTTAAATATGAAAATTCTGATTTCCTACCTATAGTCAAGCAAACTTTTCTATCTCTGTATTGTCGAAAGCTTTCATGGCTTTTACTGGGTTGTTTTATTTTATTTTAGCAAACGCAACATACAAACTATCTGCAGACCCACCAAGAAAATTCAACAAATGCTACGTTCAGCAAAGGACAAGAGGGATCTTCTCACTTCTGCAGGAGTCTACCATATACCACGCAGCTGTGGACAAGTCTACATAGGGACCACCAAACGCAGCATTGCCCAAACACGAATCAAGGAACACGAAAGGCACTGCAGACTACTTCAACCAGAGAAGTCAGCCATAGCAGAGCACCTGATGAACCAACCTGGACACAGCATATTATTTGAGAACACAGAAATGCTGGACCACTCTCACAACCACCATGTCAGACTACACAGAGAAACCACTGAAATCCACAAGCATGTGGACAATTTCAACACAAAGGAGGAAACAATGAAAATGAACAAAATCTGGCTACCAGTATTTAAAAAAGTCTAAAATTACAACATCAAAACAACAGGGAGGAAACAATCAGGGACATCTAATCACCTCTCAACAAAAGATTGGCCCAGGCACTAACAAACTACACCAAACAACCGCCAGGTCATCAAATGCTAATCAAGGTGGTCAGTTGAAACATTCACACTTAGCTCCAACAGACACGAGTTCTTTGTCCCACCCTGGTCATTCCACAGATATATAAACCCTTTTTCCTAGTTCCAACAGACCTCACTGCCTCTGAGGATGCAGGCGAAACGTCAGGAGAGAATGCCTCTAGAACATGGCCACAGTGGTCCACGCTCTTGTTACATCCTGAAGAGATTACTGCAACACACTCTACGTGGGGTTGCCTTTGAAGACTGTTCGGAAACGTGGGGTTGCCTTTGAAGACTGTTCCAGCGGCAGCCAGATTACTCACTGGAGCGTCATACAGGGAGCATACCACCCCTCTGTTATGTCAGCTCCACTGGCTGCCGATCCAGTTCCGAGCACAATTCAAAGTGCTGGTTTTAACCTACAAAACCCTATATGGTTCTGGCCCAGCATACCTGTCCGAACACATCTCCTTCTACGTCCCGCCTCAAAGTTTGAGATCTTCTGGGGAGGCCCTGCTCTCGGCCCCACCTCTATCACAAGTGAGATTGGTGGGGATGAGGAGCAGGGCCTTCTCGGTGGTGGCCCCTTGCCTGTGCAATTCACTTCCCGGGGAAATTAGGTCATCAACATCCCTCCTCTCTTTTAGAAGGAAACTAAAAACATGGATGTGGGACCAGGCCTTTGGGTAAGCTGGCAGATAGACAAAAGGACAACGACGACTGGAATGGATAGGATTTGACAATGTGGAATGAATTTACGGATTCTGAGCTGGTGAATGTTGAGCATTAGACTGGTTTTATTGTGATGTATAATTGATGGTTTTAATTGTTTTATAAGTGCTGTTGATATGTTTTTCTCTTATTGTTTGTGTTGGCATCGAATTGTGCCTTTTGTAAGCTGCCCTGAGTCCCCCCTCGGGGGTTGAGAAGGGCGGGATAGAAATGCGTGAAATAATAATAATAATAGTGGAGGGGAGCACTGTGGTGAAAATAAAAAAGGGGAAAATGTTTAAGCAAAACAATAACATAACATGTTAAAGAGTGTGTTGTACAAAATGTAACAGTAATAACAAATGTATAACAAATGTAGCAATTGTGATAAATCAATAATAATAATAATAATAATAATAATAATATTAATAATAGCCCGAAAAAACCTACAACAACCCAGTTTCCTATCTCTTTCCCCTCTTTCTCCTGACGTAAATCAACTCTTTTCTTTTAAATATATAGTCTCTCTCACACACACACACACACGCGCGCGCTTATGAAAGGAATCAACAGTTCACTGGGGACTAGATTATGGTTAGTGAACCCATTTTCACTTATGACCTGAAATAGTATTAGGATACAGACCTCAGCATCTGCCATTATGAATATTTTAGCAAACCATCACTGAATGTCAAGCCACTGATATATACACTAGGGGGTTAGTTCCATTCTATCCCTGCTATTCCAAACACAGTGATTTCCCCTTTGGCCAATATGGAATGTATTCATTTTCTATATACATAGTAAATGTTTCACATCCTTCTTTCCACTCTCATTCCATTTCCAATTTTCAGTTGGGTTTATCCCCAGTACATCGCGAAAAAGGTGAAGGCACGGGGAGAGAAAGAGAGGCAGAAAGAGGAAGAATGCATAAAATAACTGTTTTCTTTCCAACCCCCCCTCCCTTTCACAAACCATAACAGGAGGGAGAAAATTAACATCACTTAGGCATCAATGTATTCTTGTCAGAGAAGACCCCTGAGGCCTCATGGCAACTTCTTGACATTAATGAGGCTTATTCCATTCACAATGGTTTGTCTATTCAGCATGCCCTGCAAATTGAGGGCCTCTGTCATTAGAAAAAGGAGGTCAAACTTTTAAGAGCTCTTAAATAAGGAGGAAATTATATACTCATTCCTTTACATGTAAACCAAGCCACACAAGTTTTCATAGGGGAAAGACGGGGAAAAAAACAAGTTACATTGAAGCCAACTCTGACAAAATAACTCATAAGTAAAAGACGGGAGAGAAATCCAAGCTTTAAAATTTAAAAAGAGAGTTCATGAAATATTGACTAGCTTTACAATAAAAGTGCGTATGTGGCGGGCGGGGGGGGGGGGTCATAAAGATTTGTACTTACCAGAATATCTTTTCCAGCCCACTTGCATTCATCCCGACGGGTATGAGATACAGGCCAAACAATCTGAAGATACAAAATAAAATCATATTATGTCATTTTATGCTCCGTCAATTTGGAATTTGTACGCAATGTCCTGAAAATGCTTTTTTGGGATTTTTTTTATTGCTAAAACACTGCTATGCTACAATATTGTCTATATTTGGCCACATTGGATGGGTTTGGAGGATGCCTAGCAGAAAATGCTCTTGAATATATTATTATTTCTCATTTGTTTTTTATAGGCTATCACAGCAACCAAAGGTATTGTGGAATCAAAAAATCAGCCGTACCATCCAACACAGAAGATCTGCATCAAAGTCCTTCATAAATGGCTCAGCAAAACAGTATGTTTGGAGGATAGGTTAGCTGGCTCTCTTTGTACTGGAATAAAGCTACCCTCCATGGTTTTTGTTCTCCATTGTTGAAGTCATGTATAGAGGGAAACCCAGATAATAAGATTGTCAATGGGGTTACTGGCTTCATCATGCCCTGCTAGCAGGATTCCATCTGGTAAATTGGCTTCTTTTGGAAAAAAGAGTGCTTAATCCAATAATTCCCCCCTCCCCACACACACACCACCACCACGATTTAAACCACTAAAGCAGGAGTGAGAAGCCGTGATCTGTCCAGTGTTAACAGACTCCAGTTCCCACCAGTTCCAACCAGTAATTTCAATATACAATGCTCTGGATAATAGGGTCTGTAATCCCTTAACACCATTAATCCCATTCCTACATGAAGGCAATTCCAAGATTCTGATGACCAAAATCCACTGATTGTGGTAATATGAAAATACCTAAATAAACTCAATGTATATATTACAAATACACATATGAAGAAAACTGCCACATTTTAAAGACTTTCTGGCACAAGAAACAGAAAAAACAAAGAAACAGAAAAAATTACACATATGAAATTTGACTTTTAGCCGGAATACTTTTTGTTAGGTATCACCGACTTCGCTATAGACAATAACACAAACAAGATTTTTTCTACCTTATGACAGCTGCAAGAATCAAATTAGCCCAATTTTGGAAATCTAAAGAAACCCCCACAGTGGAACAGTGGACATTGAAGGCACTCAACATAATGAATATGGACTTACTCACTCAAAGAATTTCACCCATCAACAACAAGACGAAGAACACAGATTGGGAGAAATTTCTGAATTATCTAAAAAATGAAAATAAAGGAAATCTACCGAAATAGCAGAAGAGTAGAAGATACTACTATAGCGTGAGGACTGTGAATATAATAGACCTTGGGGCATAAGCCCGGAACTAGAGAAGGATTTCACGATCTGGTTAACTTTGAAGTGCATTTCCATAAGTTCTATATTACTGCATTACAATAGTTATCACAGCATACCCCTCAAAAATAATCTACCATACGCACAGATGCTAAGAATCAAACGTAACTGCACCTTACTACAGGATTTCGAACATAACAAGGAAATACTGCAAAATCAGTTTAGAGACAAGGGCTATCCTGAATATGTGATTCATAAGGCTAGTACTAAAACTTCCAGTGTTCCAAGATCTGCTATACTAGAGGATAAGATCAAACCAAGGGACAACAGAGTAGTATGGCCTCTCACTTTCACCAACACACTATATGAATGAAATGAATGTATGTGTGCGTGGGTGACTCCCCGAATCCCTCTTCTTCTCCACCCCTTTCCCCACTTTCCCTTCCCCTTTCCCCTCACCTTATCCATATCCTTGATTCCCCTTCCCTTCTTTTCCTCTCCGTATAAATGTGGTGTGAACGTACTTCTTTATCTTTATCCCACCCCCACCTCTAACCCTAGACCTCTGCCCTTTTCTTACTGCGACTTTTTAAACTATGTTCCCACACTTTTTATGTATCTAGAAATTTTCAATAAAGAAATTTTGAAAAAAACTGCCACATTCACATTAAGTAGAAATAACTGGTTCTTCTCTTGAAGTATAAAACAAAGTCTTTGTTTGAGAAAATGTCCTGTTCTTTATTACATATGAGTAAACTCCAGTAGTCACATGAATTGACTCCAACCTGCAACCGGTTTCGACTCACAAGAGCCTTCGTCAGGCGGTTGGGTCTAAAAACAACACATATCATGAATGCAATCCCAATAGTGTAGCATATCTGGTAGGCTTGGGCGGTTTCGTTCGTTAATTTCGTAATTCGTTATTAATTCGTATTTAAATTAGCTTACGATCCAATATTGAGCCATGCAGGATTACCGTGAGGAGTAATTAAAAATTGAAACAATTTTTCCAATTTATTTCGTATTATTTCGTAATTGTTTCGTAATTGGTTCAAAATTGTTTCGAAATTGTTTCGTAATTATTTCCGTATGTCTTGTGCAAGTTTTATAGTTGTTGTTTGTTTTATCAGTGATAAAAAATAAATTATCACACCAACAGTCAACAACAGAGGGAGAGGGAAGCTTCAGAAGTTCCCCCTGTCCCATTTGGAGGGATTTTTAGCATATTGCGCAATCGCATCCACCATTAACGAATCGATTCGTAATTTTACGAAATTTCGTATATTTTGAACTTTTTTAAAGGAAAATTTCGGAATTCTTTAAAAAAACGAAACGCAAGGGCCCCCCTAAAAACGAAACGAGTTTAGAACCAAATTTTTCCGTGGTTACTGAAGCCTAATATCTGGATGTAAAAGTAATGAAAGACAACAACAAGCTGCTAGTTAACAATTATTGCAAACCCTCAGACAGAAATGCATTTCTGCATTACAATAGTTATCACAGCATACCCCTCAAAAATAATCTACCATACGCACAGATGCTAAGAATCAAACGTAACTGCACCTTACTACAGGATTTCGAACATAACAAGGAAATACTGCAAAATCAGTTTAGAGACAAGGGCTATCCTGAATATGTGATTCATAAGGCTAGTACTAAAACTTCCAGTGTTCCAAGATCTGCTATACTAGAGGATAAGATCAAACCAAGGGACAACAGAGTAGTATGGCCTCTCACTTTCACCAACACACTATAAAAACAGTGAAAAGGTACTGGAACTTGGTGAGAGATGTACCAGGTTGTGAGAGAGACCCCTCATTGCTCATAGGAGAACACAAAACATCAGGGATATTTTGATTCACTCAGATACAGACCCTAAGCCAGTGATCTCTAAACCTATTCTAATAGGAAACTATGCTTGTCATCACTGTTCTTTATGTTCACAGTTTGTACAAACTAAGTTCTTTCAGAACCAGCACACTAAAACTCAGTATAGAATCAATCACTTTGCTACCTGCTCCACTGAAGGTGTAATATATGCCATCACCTGTCCCTGCTCACTTATTTACATTGGTCAAACAAGCAGAGAAGTCAAGCTCGGGATCATTGAGCACAAAAGTAAAATCAGGAAACATTCTACTGATTCCATTCTGTATAAGGATTTTGTGGACCTGAATCACAGCCCTGAATCATTTCAAGTACAGATTTTAGAGGTGGTTACTCCACCAGGAGACACTGACTTCCAAACTAAACTTTTACAACGGGAATCCTTCTGGATCTTTACCCTGCAAACAGAACATCCAAAAGGGTTAAACAACACCAATTCATATGACTGCTTTTTATAACAGAGTAGGTTTTACCCCAATGTATTCTGAACTGATAATGATGTCACTATCACCTGACCAATGGACTTGCTGTAGTAGTAATGGGTTGAGTTATTTTGATCCTATACTCGCCACAGAATAAAACTCCTTGCAGGGTATATTGCTCAACAAAGAATAGCTGTGAGTATTATATTATTTTTGTTTCATAGATATTATTTCTTTATGTATGGTTTATAATTCATGTCACAATGTACCTTTAGCCACTATCTATGTTCCCTTAGGATCCACCCCTCCAGAAGACTGTTGGTGAATTTCTCACCTCAAAAGATGAGCTTTTTTTGATAATTTGAGTAAGTAGAGTGTTTGTATATATTCTTACAAACTTGTTATAACAAATTGTTCAATTGTATATGTGTATTCATGATATGTGTTGTTTGTAGACCCAACCGCCTGATGAAGTCTCTTGTGAGTCGAAACTGGTTGCACATTGGAGTCAATTCATGTGACTGGCGTCTACTCATATGTAATAAAGAACAGGACATTTTCTAAAACGAAGACTTTGTTTTATACTTCAAGAGAAGAACCAGTTGTTTCTACTTAATGTGAATGTGGCGGTTTTTTGATATGTGTATTTGTAATATATACATTGAGTTTATTTAGGTATTTTCATATTACCACAATCAGTGGATTTTGGTCTCCACAGTTTCAGGGGAACCTATTTTTCTTTTTGGTAAAACACATTGGCTGCCACCAATTGCACACAAATTCACAATCACACCCCAGATTGTGTTCATTTATTAGTTATCCTGAAACATCCATTTCATTTTCTACAGTAAAAGCCCAAAGACCCTCTTAGTGAATTATTCATGTCTTTCAAAAAGCTTTTAAGAATTGCATATAGAATAAAACATGATTTTCAAATAATGCCAAGCTAACATTCAGTTGGGAGCCTTGATAATGCAATATGAATGGCAACCTGCCTGAATTGTAACCTTAGTTTTAAAGCATTTTGCTGATAAAGCAGAGGGATTTTTACTTAGGAAAAAAATATGATAGATTGAGGCAAATTTAAGGAAGAGCTTATAATAAAGTTTGGTTTTTTCAATTTTTTTTCTTTACAAAACCACTCATGTTTGAATATTCCTGGTAGCTAGAATAGAAAGAAAAAAGCAATGCAAGCCAACAAAGCCGGGTTGTCATTTTCATGAGAAATAACTCTCTTACTGGCTTTTGTTTCTCTTGCTGACTTAAACATTACTGAGACTGGTAAACAAAGAGGCAGACAAAAGTGAATGAATACTAGCCTGGAACAATATCATTTCCTTAATCTATCAAGGACACATACATGCATAAATAGGTTTACACATCTTCAATCAATTCTCATATAAACCTCTACCCTCAAGCTTATTCACTCCTTCTGTACAGGCTGGATTCACTCTTAAACATGGAAA